AGGTGAATATTGTCCAGCAGCATTACCAACACTTCCACAGCTAACTGGGCTCTTAGAAGACATTTGGGAGTAAATTAGAGGTAAGTAACAGCACAGAACACAGAGCTAGGACTGGTTGCTGCAAACAAACTTTATGGGATTGCAGAAAAAGTGGCTACACCCTTCATAAGTGGACATCCGGCTAACTAAAATCATGCCAAGGATATTGCCAGACCAGAGAGTGCTGGACTTGAGAGGTTCAGCCTATATCAGGAATTTTTTACCTCTGCTTCTCTCACCAGAGGCAAAAAATTTTTGGCTAGCCGGTTAACACTAGTTTACAAAACAGATGCAATAGTGCTTGCTATTATTTTTGAGTGCATGTGTGTGCTTAATGTTAAAAATAATAGCATCTGAAGCAAAGTAAAACTGTTACTTTAAAGCATTCAGGAAATCCTTCCACAACCTCTATCCCATGTACATTTTTTTTTCCTACAGGCTAATTGTCCTATGCCATATTTTCCAAAAGGCAGCAATGCTATAACTGGGTTTTATATACATTTAATTTCTGTGCTGAATTGCATATAGATTCCAAATTTGAAGTGCAAATAAAAATAATGTTCATACATCAGTCATAGTAAGTTATTTTTCATAAATTGGAGAACATCTGTTTTTATAATGGTTGGCATTTTTCTCTGCTGTTTTTTTAACCCTCAGTATAAACTTGAATAGACTGTTCTTATTTGTGAACAAATCTGAAGAGTAAGTAATAAAATATAGTTCAGAACTTTACCTCTAGTCTGCCATGTGCACAGCCTAATAACAATAAGTTGGCTCTGTCCCTCTCACTGGAAATAGGAGACCATGGCCATGCTCCATCATTAGTTAGAGACCACCAGCAAATGACCATATCTTGGATACAATTTATTGACAGGTGACGTTTTATCCTTCTACTTGCTGGACCAGGTATATCAGTATAAGAAATCTGATGGAGAAAAAAAATACAGGAAATATTTCAAGTCATAAAAACAACATACTGGCAACATTTACTGTGCATGTGTGAAAGTAAACATAAACACAGAGAGGACTACATGTTTGTGTGTGTGTGTATATATATTACATTGAAATGAAAGAAATCTCTCTCCCGACAGAAAGGCACAGCTCACCCTCAATTTTATCTATGGGGAAGGGATTGAGAAGAAGAAGGGTGTGAGTTAAGCAGGAATTTACTGCAATGACTCCAATCAATACCAAAATGTACAGTCATGGTTGCTTGACAGCATCGACCTACACACGGGATTTAAACGCAGCCATATTAAATGACAAGTCCTGTGATGCTGACCAAAGGGTTAGGGCTGCTGTTTAAGACACATCATCAAACATTAAAGACAGCTAACAATGTTTAAAAGAGAATGTTTATTTCCCCCTAAATAAAGGAATCCAGCCACGAATACCCATTTTGTATCAGACTATGCACTTTGCTGCATAATGTGGATGAGCTACAGCATCATGCGTAAAGTTTATGCAGCTCTTGAGAATTGTGCCTCTATTTCTCAGGAAGGATTTGCAGAATTTATTATTCAAACTATGTTATTTTGGAGCATGGTTATTTGAAAACATGAGCAGTGCACCATCTGGGTGACACATGCCAAGGAAATATAGATTGCACCGCATTTCTGCTTAAGGAATTAATGGAAGGTTGATAGCTAGGGGAAAAAAAAACTATCTTGCCATTGCTGGTCAGCAATAATCGAACCACTTTCTGGGGATTAAGCGCATGGCTAAGCCTACTGGACCAGACACTAGCAAAGGGCAGGGGGTCTTCTTATCAGAGAAATGCTTCTGGAGCCAGTCTCACTACATGACAGATTGCTTTCATATTCCTGTCTGCAAGGCAACAAAGGATGGCAGTAATGCGATAATGCCAGAGTGCAATGGGTGTTAAGAACCCGTTGCATTTATGTATTGTATTTAGTAAATAATCAGGCTCATCCAAATTGTGATCTCACCACTCAACCAAGGCCATTAAAATCAAGGTTAATACTTTTAATAATCCTTTGCTGTTTTTTATATGGTCAAAAAGAACCCTTTTCTATTTGCATGGTCATAATATTATTGACCTCTTCATCCCCTGAATACACATCAAAAGGAACTGAAATCAAAGTAATTACCAATGTTGTTCTCCCACAGTAAACATTTATCGCTTTGTACTTTCGCCTCAGTGGTGATTAAATTGAAATGGACTAAAAAAAAAACCACAGAAGGATTTTTAAAGGATCAATGTGTTCAGTAAATTTATCTTGCACTTTAATTTGCCCAAATTCTGTCAATTTTAAAATATAAGTAGATAACATACACATACATATAAAGTTTATCCAAGAAATGCTAAGTTAACCACTCAAAGAAATACTAAGTTAGTCACTTAACTTTTTTTATTAATCAAAACCACACTGGAGGTACTGTTAGATGAGAAATACAAATACCTTATGGCTAGCAAAAATAA